GAATACAATGTTGATGCCATGCCTTGGTAAATATGAACAAGAAAAAAAGACTTCAAAGGCATAAATTGTTGTTACTGGTTTATTCCAAACGTTTCACCGGTTAGGGCTTCATCAATGGACTAACATCGTATATTACAAAGCAACGTATATAAGACAAAGGCCTGTTACGGTCGAATGATTATGCATTGACTTTTTTTACACATCTGTATGTAAATCTTAGTATAGTTGTAGGCGAACTATTAACGTATATTATCAGGCATATTCCTATATATGTATATGTGTAATATGTGGGTGTGGATATTTACACATATCCCCACCCACATATACATATACATAAATATGTGAATACAGTTGTATACAATATTATTCTACTTATTAAAGTCCATTAGCAGTAAACTTCAGTCAATTGTTTATATTCTTCCTACACATCCGTTCATAATATTAACTTTATATTTTTTAATCTCTAAACGCTTCTATTATTCTTCGGACATAGGGCAAATTAATGTTAGGGTGAAAGATCTCCCAAGAAATATCTCTAAGTATAGGTCTTTTATTGTGCGTTGCTAGATGCGTATACTGTTTGCAAGCGTACATGTTCTTTTATTCTGGAACCAATGGTTCTGCCATTTTCACCAATGTATATTATATCGCAATGGGAACATGTTATCTTGTATACAGTGTTCTTGGTTAAGCATAGATTAGTCTTTACAGCACAGGCACATGTATCACATTTCCTAGGGCACTCCTGTTTTTCTTTAGGGGCCGTGAATATTGTCTTTAGTGAACGCCCATTCATATAATGTACTCTGATATTAAGTAACCCTGTCCGCTTAATTATTGCTTGTGCTTGTTGTTTAAGTTCTTCATTAATAAATGGTAGTTTCAGATAGATTGTATCTTGATCTTGATAAACCGAACGTGAGCTGTTCTTATCCATAGTACGTTTAATGGCGGAATAGACAAACGCTTTAGGATACCCGTTCTCATAAACGTCTGTGTGACACGTTTAAGAGAATTTAAACGCGATTTGTGGTCAGTAGATCTGGTTATCGCGCGATTAATCTCTCCAATGAGGATTCCTCTCTTTTGTGATATAGGGCCATGACTATCCCACGATGTTATACACTGACTATTAATGGGCTTCGTATATAGAGTAGTCATAAATCTGCCATTTTCCGGTTTTAAAGTCACCATGGTGTCGAGAAACGGTATACTGTTATCAATTGGTGATTCAACTGTGAATTTAAGGGCAGAATTCAAACTGTTAGCGATACAAAGCACGATTTCAGGGGATATATCCTCAGATGTCCATGCGATAAATATATCATCGATATATCTTTTCAAGTATAAGACATTATTGAACGCAGACTGTATAGCGAGATCGAGATTGTTCATATAGATAATAGCTAATGTAGGCGCTAAATTATTACCCATAGCCAGACCAGATTTCTGTGTGTAACTACTGCCATCTATTAGAACTATGTCACTAGTAAGGCATATGCGTAATAGGGACATGAAGTCAGAGTCACTTAGATTTTCCAATTCTGTAGATGATTTGTTTTTTGAGAAGAATTCCGTGGCTGCTGTAAATTTGCCACATGTTCCGTTTTTCAGATCTTCAAGAGGAATGGATCCATATAAATTACATACATCTAGACTACAGAAACCTCTTGTATTATCCAATTCAGATAAAGATACAATAAACTGCTCGGTATTTTTGAGGTGTGCGGGTACATAGACAAGTAGTTTATTCAATGATCTAGCTAGAAATTTCGATAGTCTAGTGGCTGGGGTGTCGGTAGCTGCATGAATAGGACGGCCTTTAAACTCTCCTTCTTTGTGATCCTTAGGTAAGCAATATACTGGACAGGGCTATGGTTCACTACAGATGCTGTCTTTAAGTGCTTTCGCTAGCTCAGGATAATCTTTATTATACTTGTGTGCGATTTTATTCAAATTACCATTGAACTTAATCTGTTCCGTTCTTGGTTGATTAAGCTTGGATTCTCTTAGTTGATAGTTATCAAAAGCAGCAGTGCTATTCAAGAGGATGCGTTTGTATTGGCTACTATCAAGAGCTTAGTTTTATCTGTTGATGTGATAATCACCGAGTCTAAAGCTGGGTTCACGTCGAACTTTTATCTAGATATACATCCACTTAACTAGTTAAAAGTTCGACGTGAACCACTCAATTATAGCTAGTTAAAGGAATTAAGTCACTTAAGTTAAGTGACTTAACTTTACCAGAATAACGGTAAATTAACTTGCTTAACGGTAAAGTCGGCTCGGATTAAAAGGACACGATTACGTAACGTAGGCATCTAAGCCAGCTTTGTTGTATTGTACCACCATTATCATCTTCTGGCTGGCAACAACGTA